TTTTTTGTAATTTTCCTTGTAAAAAAATATGCAGCAAGTAAAAAAAAAAAAAAAAAAAAAAAAAAAAAAAAAAAAAAAAAAAAAAAAAAAAAAAAAAAAAAAAAAAAAAAAAAAGGAGCCAGACACAGGAAGGGGAAAAAAGAAAACAAAAGTCTCTCTTAGAGGCCTCTAAGAGAGATAAGAATGTCCGGGCACACAGCCAAGTGTCTGGGCATTGAGCCAAACTCTGCAGCTGAATATACAAGGTTAGCAAAAAAAAAAAAAAAGAGAGAGAGAGAGAGAGAAAAGTTAAAATGTAACCACCAGGGGATGCTGTCTCTTTCCCCCACTATCTGAATAGGCCGAGGGAAAAAAAGTCAAAAAGTAAATACACAGAAGTAAAGTTCTAAAGTGAAACAATTAAGGTGCCTTTTCCAATTAAAATATTAAAAAATGTCTTGCTTTTCCTTCTATAGTGGAACAAAATAACTCCTTCAGTTTAACTTCAATCAGACAGTTTCAAAAGTTTTAAAGTAATGCTTAAACCGCCGCTTTACGGGAGGGGGGAGACGAAAAACCCTCCTCCTCCCTTCCTCAAACTTACAGCTTCAGCTCAAAGGCAGGCAAATTATTTCAAGAGAGGCCACTTTGCAGCAAGCGCCAACATTTTCTCACCCGGACTGGTTGCTTGTTTTCCCGATCAGCTGTCTTCTGTCTCCGACAATCTGCTGATGATGGCGGCAAACACAGAAGCTCTCCACCTTTCTGTTGCCGGTTCCAGGGGCTGTTTTGAGTTTGGAGAGCCGGCTACTGCCAGCTCCCGTTCCTCAAAAGTTCACCCCTCGGTGGCTACCCCTTGAGGGTGGCCCGAATGGGCCCGCCAGCAAAAGAAATTCGGACCCTGGGAACGGAGAGTCGTTCCCCAGGGTCTATTACCAGCGACGTCACCGGAAACCCCAAAGGTTCCTGAGAATATGCGACAGAGGTTAAATGAGAAGATATCAATGATGGAAATTACAGAGGCAATAAAAAGACAAAAGAAAGATAAAACACCGGGGCCTGATGGACTACCCACATAATTTTATGTAGCCTTACAAGATACTGTAACTCCAATTTTGAAAGACTTGTGTAATGAAATTTTTATACAGACAAAAATACCGAATTCATGGACGGAAGCCAATATTACTCTGATACCCAAGGAAGATACTGACCTTACACAAATTAAAAACTATAGACCAATATCGATATTAAATGTGGATTATAAAATCTTTGCGGCAATAATGGCAGAAAGAATGAAAAATTTTTTAACTGAATTTATTCATCCAAATCAAAACGGCTTTCTTCCTAGAAGACAGATAAAGAACAACTTAAGGATTATTTTAAATGCTTTGGAATACTATGAAAATCATCCAGGGAATCAGATGGCACTTATATTTCTTGATGCACAAAAAGCTTTTGATAATTTAAATTGGCAATTCATGTTTCAACAGTTACAGGAAATGGATTTTGGTGAGAACTTTATTAAAGCAATTCAAGCAATTTACAAGAAACAAACAGCAAGAATACTCTTAAATGGAGATTATACAGATGGATTTGATATTTAAAAAAGGCACGAGACAGGGATGTCCACTGTCTCCCTTGTTATTTATTCTTACATTGGAGGTATTGGCTAGAAATATTTGACAAGACAAGGAAATTAAAGGTTTAGAGATTATAGACCAGAAATATAAATTACAGGCTTTTGCGGACGAGTGGCTCTCAACAATGGAAGCATTTGCTTATCCGAATTTGATTAACTATGATAAACTTGTTAGCTGTAAAGATATCTTGGATAAAGATGGAAAACTTAAAGACTGGCAAACTCTTCAACAACAAGGTATTGAGTTAAAATGGTGGTCCTATTTGCAAATTCAAACAAGATATGAAAAAGATATAAAATCAATGGGATTTTATAAAAAGCAGACTCCACTTGATAAAATACTCTTGAAAACAGATGAGAACTTGATTAAGAAACTTTATAAATGTCTGCTAAGCTGGAAGATGGAAGAAGAACAAGTACAAGAAACAATGATAATATGGGCAAAGAATTTTGGATACTCTATAGACTTAGAAGATTGGCAAAAACTTTGGGATAAAAATATTAAACTTACTAAAGCAGCAACATATAAAGAAAATTTATATAAGATGTTTTATAGATGGCATATGACACCAGTTCAATTAGCGAAAATGTTTAAAAATGTATCAAATACTTGCTGGAAATGTAAACAAAACCCAGGCACTTATTACCATGCCTGGTGGATATGCCCTAATGCAAAGAAATATTGGCTTAAGATTCATAGATGGCTGGAAAAGATGACGAAAGTACAAATAGAAATTAAACCGGAATTGTTTTTGCTAGGAATAGTAAGATCTAGCTATGGTAAAGAGAATGATTATTTAATATTACATGTATTAACAGCTGCAAGAATAGTATTTGCCCAATTCTGAAAAAAATGAAAATCTACCACCTGACCAGGCTATAATTTCGAAAATCTTAGACTGTGCAGAAATGGATAGACTAACTTTGGAGATGAAGGAGAAAGAAGACTCAATTTATTTTAAAACTTGGGAAAATTTTTATCGATGGTTCGAAACACGTTAGGACATGAACCGAGCTTAAAACTGAACTGAATTTTAAAATCGAACAGAATAAATGATAGATTTTTAATTAAGTTCTATTTTGTTAGATTAATAACATCTTTATTATTGGTGACTTTAAATATTAATGGTGATGATTAGAATTAATTGATAAGTTATTAAGTATGGATATCTATTTAGAGGAATTTTACTTATTCATCAAATTTTAGTCACGTGATTATAGTTAATTTTATCTTTACAACTGTTTAGTATTATATAAATTATGTTTATTCAATATTTAGACCCCGACGGTAGCTTGTTCGTTAAAGCGTGGGATTATTATGGGGGATTACCCCATTATTGTACCTACCCTCATCCTACCCCATTCCCTCTATACCTGTATTGATCCTATACCTTCCTTACCTATATAAAATCTAATAAAATATTTATTAAAAAAATACTATTTTCTTAATTTTTTTATATTTACTCACCATTCGATGTTTTGCAGAACCTGCAATAACAAGGCTTTATAAGTTTGTTCTCTTCAATGAAGCCATATAGCTCAAGTCCTTTTCTTATTCTACGCTCACGCTTGGGAGGTTTGGGGGTCAAATTTACATCAAACAAATCTCCATCAGTATTTGCTATCTTCAAAAGACTGCTGGAATTAAATTGCTAGCTGCTCAGGCCTGCTCGCACAAATTCCCCGGCCCCCTTGCAATGACATGCCCTTGAGCATTGCACATGCCCAGAATCACGGGGGTTATGACATGCCCGGGCATGTCCCGAACAAGGCCTAACCCCCTTTTTTACTAGCAGACACAAACACGCATGCCCCNTCAGGGATCACCCTGATCTCTGGGGGCAGCTCATTCCAGAGGGTGGGAGCTCCCACAGAGAAGGCCCTCCCCCTTGGGGTCGCCAGCCGGCACTGTCTGGCCGACGGCACCCTGAGGAGACCCACCCTGTGGGAGCGTACAGGCCGATGGGAGGTAATCTGTGGCAGAAGGCGGTCTCGAAGGTATCCCGGTCCGTTGCAGACTATTGTAGATTGCATTGACATCATTTGTTGGGGAGGGCTAGCATCTACCCAAACAGCAACTATTGCAACTAAAAGAGTAATAGCAAGATGTCACAACTGGGTCCAGGTCTCTCCATCTTTAGTTCTGAATGATTTTGTCCCTCCCAGATAAAACTGGTGCATAAACTGAAAATCTACCTGTAGCATGAGAGTTATGGGGCTATCAGAGTACACCAAAGCTGCACAGGAAGCTTTTGTGCACAATTGAAGATGCTGGTTATATATGGCAAATGGCACATGCTATAATTATTTGTACAACCATCTGTCTCATGCTGTTATTCCCCATCCTGTAGGATAGTACAGAGATCTGGCTCCCAACCATTAAGCAATGTCATTCAATGGCAGGATTTTCCTATCTTCCCAGCACCCCAAGATTCAAATGGCCTTAACTCTGGTCCCATATACATGAGCCTTGAACAGCTCAGTCTTTCTCTAGGGCTCAGACTAGACTGGGATGTCTACAGGGAGTTTTACAGGGGTTTTTAGTGAATATATTTTTTACACTGTAATCATTATCTTTTTTGTTCTGTTTGATGTTTGCACCTTTGATTTCAATTACTATATACTATCCAGAATCATTTTCATTTCATTTTTCATTTTTTCATTTCATTTTCATTTTATTATATTTATACCCCGCCCTTCTCCCGTAGGACTCAGGGTGGCTTACAGCCAGTTTAAAAACAGTTTAATACAATACAATACAAAGTTTTAAAAAATCATTAAAAATAAATATTTAAATCGGCCGCTTCTACTAAAATTTGGCTAAAACCAATTTAAAATACCCCTAGGCCAGTCCTGCCCGCTGAAACAACCAAGTCTTAAGGGCGCGGCGGAAGGAGGGGAGATCCGGAATCACCCGNATGATAATCAACACCTTGAAGCGCACTCGGAAGGCCACAGGCAGCCAGTGCAGCTCGCGCAGTAGCGGCGTTACATCAAGAAGTTGGCTATTCTTAGAAATACAAATAAAAAATCAGGACACGAGAGAGGGTAAAACTGGAGTCAGCAGCTTATGGGTCCAAAGGCACAATGTTCTCTCTGGGATTACCCAGAATGCCTTTCACCATGACTGCCTGACACTGACATCACAACTTTCTCCCATCTTTAACCAGGAAACAGATGGCAACTGTCTTAAAAGACTCAAATAGGCATAGAAGACTTCACCAGGCTCTATGAGGTCCTACTACTCTGCAACTCTCAGACCCTCAACACCCTGATGTTTCAAAAGTCCACCTAAGATAAAGCCACACAAGATGCTCAACCCATTTTTCCCAAACATCTTTCAGCATGCTATTAGGGGTCATTTTGCTAGCAATGGTATTACCGTGGATGTCTCCTCTGTACAAATTTCCTTCTGTAGAGGGGCCGCTGAACATTCAGGGATAGATTTCATCCCCTTCCTTTTGGCTTTTTCTATCTGAATGTTCGTAAAATAGTTGACAGCCGCAAATTCAATCAATGCAGAGAATACAAAGGCAAAGCATACAGCTATGAACCAATCCATGGCTGTGGCATAGGAAACTTTAGGCAAGGAATGCCTGGCACTGATGCTCAAAGTTGTCATGGTCAGCACAGTGGTTATTCCTTGGAAAGAAAAGAAATATAATAAACGTAATTGGTATCTTTATGGAATAAGAAAAAAACCCCAAAGCATAACTTACCCTCAATTGTGAGGAACAACTGAATACAAAGTGTGTTAGTTTATATTGTGAACTAACATGAACTATGCAGTTGTGGGTGCTCCATCACCGGAGATTTTTAAGAAGAGACTGAACAGCCATTGTCCATAATGGTATAATGTCTCCTGCTTGCGCAGAGGGTTGGACTAGAAGATCTCCAAGGTCCCTTCCAATTCTGTTATTCTGAATGTTATCTTCCATGAAGAGAGTCAAATGCTTTGAAGCCTTTGAACAGAGCAAATAGCAATACAAACTTGATCTTGGCTGATCTTGGAAAAGCTAAGCAGGATCAAAGCTACATGGCTGGGAAACTCCCATGGTTTCCCAGGACTGTAGGATATACTGGGAAGTTTAAAAAGTTAAAAAAAAAATCTTATAGAAGGCACTTCTGCACTGTTGGAAAGAAAACACATGGATTTGTTCATGTAGTCATCAAGAAATGAGCCCAACTTAAAGGAGACTTCACTAACTTTTTTATTAAAGAAGCAAACCTACATCTGAAGGTTTTATTTAAAAAGATCAAAGCCAATTAATTCCCCATTATAATTGGGCGAAGACAATAAAACACTGGTGTCTCAGGTTATATAGTAACGCGTTTACAGTTCCCAGGGCAAAATACCAGTGATTTTAATAGAATCTACAGTACACTCTCTATGAGTTCTATGATTTTACATATCAGGATGTAGTAAAAATCATCTGCTCCTTAGCAGTTCTTAAAAGTAGGTAAATACAACCTCAGATGAACAACACATCATATTATACCATGTCATCATTTATTTTACAAAAAGATAGCCAAAATGGAGAAGCCATGTGTGAAAAACCAAGTGCACCTTATGATTCAATAGCTCGTAGAACCACTTTTAGCAGCAATAACTTGAAGTAATCATTTTCTGCATGAAATTATCAGTCCGTCACGTTGTGAAGGAATTTTGGCCCACCCCTCTTTACAACATTGCTTTAATTCATTGAGGCTTGTGAGCATTTGTTTATGCACAGCTCTCTTGAGGTCCTGTCACAGCATTTCAATTGGGTTGAGGTCTGGAATTTGACTGGGGCATTGCAACACTTTAATTCTGTTGTAGATTTGCTGGTGTGCTTGGTATCACTGTCCTGTTGCATGACCTAATGTTGGCCAAGCTTTAGCTGTAACACAGATTGCCTCACATTTGACTCTAGAATTCTTTGGTATGCAGAGGAGTTCATGGTTGATTCAATGACTGCAAGGTGCCCAGGTTCTGTGCTGCAAAACAAGCCCAAATCATGAACCGTCCACAACCGTGCTTGATGGTTGGTATGAGATGTTTGTGCTGATATGCTGTGTTTGGTTTTCACCAAATGTGGCTCTGTGCATTGTGGTTAAACATCTCTACTTTGGTCTTGTTTGCCCAAAGGAGAGTGTTCTAGAAGTTTTGTGATTTGTTCAGATGCAACTTTGCAAACCTAAGCTGTGCTACCATGTTCTTTTTAGAGACAAGAGGTTTTCTCCTGGAAACCCTTCCAAACAAACCATACTTGCTCAATCTCTTTTTCTAATTGTACTGTCATGAATTTTAACATTTAACATGCTAAAACTGAGGCCTGTAGAGTCTGAGATGTAACTCTTGGATTTTTTGCAATTTCTCTGAGCATTGCATGGTCTTTTTTTTAACTTCAAAAGTTTTATTAGTTTATAATATACAATATAATGAAAATACAAAACTAAATAGCAGAAAAGGCAGGGAAGGGAAAAGGAGTAGCGAAGTGAGCTAAGGGAGAAAAAAAGAAAAAAAGGTATTGACTTCTGACTTCCTTTGGTGCAGTAAAGTAGAATATCTACATCAAACCTCAACTTTTTACTTTTACAAAATAACATAAACTAGCCATTTCGATAACATCAAGTCTATCTAATTGGCTGAAGTTGTAAACCTTATTAAGGGTTCCAAATGATTTTTTATAGGTGTAGCTTTATGAAATGATAGAATTAATTTCTTAACTTTATGGAAGATGGAAATTTTTTTTCTTTTCTTTTTTTGTATAAGTAAGGGATGCTGTTAAACTATCTTGCTGAAATGGTAAAGATTTTGGGTATTTGAAGAACTAATTAAATGAATA